ATTAACTACATGCCAAAACATGAATGAAAGATGATAAGAACAAAGTTCATTACCATTAGTGAAGAAGAGCCAGAGATTTCCCATTATGTCCCCCTTTTGTAGGTTAAAGAAGATTAGGCGAATGGCTTCCATGAAAGCATAAATAGCTTTAAAGATCAATATAATGGGGGTACCGATCTCAAGATTGTGGATGAAGGTCATCCCACAATAGCTTTTGGTTATCGTTCTATTCAGCGGTAGAGTCATCGACGCTGGCCAATACTACGAGTTTTTGATGAATTATACATAGGTGCCCAATCGGCATGCAAGTTACCAATCAGAGACTTCAAATTCTAGTCGCATGGACGTGACTGCCGAATCATCTTCAGTGCCGATGCCGCTATAAGTTGTGGTTGTGGTTGCTAGTGGCAACAAAAGGATACTGTCACGCCCCGGACCCGGGGGAAGTGGAAACCCCGCGCTTGGTGCGTGAGAAAATAAAAACTAAAATAAAATAAAAAGATGCCGAAACATGGGTTTAAAATAAACTTATCTTATAAAAATAGCTACAAAATCTTACAACTTTACAAGAAATAAATAAAACACTATCATTCTTATCTAATTCAGCCTCAACTGGTTTAGCCATTGTCTTACCCACTAATTCATCTGAAAAATTAAACAGGGTGAGAGATGAGCAACCACCGCTCAGTAGGGACATGAGACCTTATCATAGCAGATTGATATAACTAAATTAAGTGACATGCAATCACACATCCAAATATCACATTAATAATAATAATGCATGAATGCTCTTCATCTACTTCCGTTAATTCATATAACTGGACAAGCAGACCTGCATGTCTCATACCATGCTTATACCACTTGGTCTCGAATGCTCATTTATATGAACTAACACTCATTTCAATCATCCCATGATTCCCCTTTTGTTAGTTTTCTTGTCTACACCATTAATCTCCAAGACCAAATCACCCAATCGACATTATACCGCTGATTTCCTAGTCTACTGTGCACACGGGCTCGCCTGGACTTGGTTCCTACAATAGTTAGACTCAACTACACAAAAGATCCTTCCCATTACCCTATTTTTCATCCTTTCTTTATCAACCTAAGAATTCCAGCCATCACTGATAACATATGATCATGTCAATATTAATAAAATGATATAATGATAATTAACAACACTTAAACACCCAATATCAATAATAATATCATCAATAATATTGCTCACGAAATTTAATTAGATCAATCTTTGTAAAAGGTCACCAAGAAACCCTACCTCATTTCCAAAGCTAGCTCCAACTTAAGAAAACAGAAGCTTCGACCTCTAACTCCTCCAAGAATATTATTACCACTCTCTCTTTCTGTTTCTCTCTACCACTATTTGTCTCTTGTTTCTCATGCAAACTATGCATGCCTTTCTATAGATGTAGTAAACCATTTGTAAATGTAGACTCCTATTTATAGTAGTAGAAGTAGGCAACAAGAAATCCCTCATTGGTTAATACTTTGCCTGGGTGCGGATCGGTTCAGAACCGTAGAAGGCTCTTCCGTTAACCAAACCAATGACTTCGGTAGACCATTTTCTCTTTCGTTAACCAAACCAAAGACTTCGGATCAGTTAACCTAATATTCGATTTGGATTGGCCGGTACGCCAGTAGTACCGTAATAAAAACCTATTGATAAAAATACAATTTATAATATTTTCACATAACATAAGTTCTTGAACAAATACACCAAATTATCCTTGTAAAATATAAAAATCCAATAGTCTAATTCATCCAAGTGTGAAATCAAATAACTTAGTCACTATATCATTCAATATGTACTCAAGATGTACATGGAGCCACTTATGTTTGTTGTTTGAACCTTTGAGTGTACTTTTTATTGAATTCTCTACATTTATGTAAATGATTTTGACAATTGTTCTGCGTTAGGTTCTGTAGTTTTTCATGCTAAATCCAACCATATAAAGAACATAAAATTTGGATCCACAGTTGAAAAGTTACAGATAAAAAATGGGATAAAGGTCGAAATTGGAAAACATAGGAAGTTCATAAATTCCTCTCTGACCAAAAAGTGCTACAGTACCCAGGTAAGTTATACAATGGTGATAAAGAAGTAATACAGTGGTGATAAAGCAGTGATAAAATGATGATAAAACAGTGATAAAATGGTGATAAAGCAGTGATACAGTGGTGATAAAGGAGTGATACAAAATGCTGATTGTATTTACCTTTGGTTTATTGTTTTGTATTTAAATAATAAAATAAGTATAAATATCGGATCGGTACGAGTTTCCGTCGGGTTAGGAATTTTATTTCCGTTAACCAAACCAAACATTTTGGTACGGATTGGATCGGAATAATTAAAATTAAAAAATAATTATTTAACCAAACCAAACCAAACCGACCGTCGGTACGCGAATAATTTGGATGAGATGCCCACCCCTAGTTAATACTCTTGGCGGCAATAATATAGGATAACAACAACTTGAGGTTATCTTCAATCTTTGCATGTTCCGCCACCTAGCAAGAATGGTGGCACCATCTCTAGCTACAATACTCTTAATCCAACACCTCATGCTAATACCAAATATATCTTGTAAGCCTTAACTCTTAAGTTTTCAATAAAATACAATATAATTTATGATAAAAAGGTTTGTCCAAATCTATCACTCAACTTAAATATCTATCAAAATAAACTAAGATTGACCTCAACTTACACACTGCCATGCAAATAATATGGGTTTATATATATATATATATATGAAAACTAATAGTGAAAATTGCACACATATATAATTTATAAATTAAATGGAAAATATTAAATCTTCAAATTATATAATTTTATAAATATGGGGTTTCACAGATACCTCAGAGGCGCCCTCATGGGCCATTGTTTGGTGCTGACTATCTAGATTCGAATATGATAACGACAATGGAGTTGGCAAAAATCTATGCCAAGTATCGAAACCATGATTCGGTGAATATGCGGATTCCTTTGGAAATAGAATAGTTAAGTAATCCCTCCAAAGTTAAGTAATCCCTCCTTTGAAAACAAAACAATAAATAGATGATCAAATTATTTTTCAACATAATTAGAATGTACACTATTATTCATAAAACTGTAATTAAAAAGAATACTAGTCGTATAATTCATAAAAAGAAAACAACATTGATTCCTAAATTTAATATTGAATTTAAATTACTAATACTTTAAATAGATTACTAGTCGTAATTCATAGAAGGAAAACACCATTAATTCAAAAATAGATTACTAGTCGTAAAGTAGATTACTAATACTATAATGTGAAATTTAATATTTAATTTCAAATAAGTTTCTAAATTAGTTCCTACATCCATTACAACTATTTGTAGATCTTTCCAAATCCAACGAGTGTCATTAGTTACATCCCCCATAACACATTAACATGGGGTAGTTTGGAATCCGAAAAATACAATAAATCAAATTTTAAGTTATATTAGGTAACTTGCTTAGTTGGATCCTAGTCATCGGGTATTAATTGAAAAAATTGGGTATTTTAAATAGATAACTAAAGGAAAGGGTTGTAGGTGATTTAAAATGAATTTTATGGGTCTAACCTCAATTTACTATATTTTTTTGTTGTGTTCTCAAGTTGGGGTTTCGATTGCCGTTGAAGCCTTTGGTTAAGAAGATCCTGGCGCAAATTTTCTATGCACCTTGCCTCTAATTTAACCCGAATTTTGGGATAGCTTTGCTCATACCTATGATCGCCTTCGACCTTGCCGAACACAAGGAACCATCTTATGAACAATTTTTGTACCTCTATAGTGTGACGAGGGCAAAAAGCAAGGGTCATGGTTGCTAGGTGCAAGCTACCTGCCTACATGCGAAGGACCGCTGATGACATTTTGTGAGGGGTATACCGACTTCTCAAAAATTGTGGAGGACTCTACATGTGCTAATTTCCGGCCATTGGGAGTCTGAGCCTCGCCAACCAGTTCGGTTTCATATCCCCACAACCTTCCAGTTCAGTTTGCATGTTGTTTTGTCAGAATCGAATTCCAACTTCCAAGTCTTTGTATGAGATTAATAGAGAAATGACGTTGTCGTTATGTAAATCTGAGCAAAGCAACTATAAGCTACCTCATTACACTAGACTTAAGAACCCTACAGATCCCAAAGCGAAATAACAAAGAAGATAAGCCTAATGCTAAAGTCAAAACAAAACTATGGGCCTATCCGATTGGATCGGATCGGATGCTTCACGGCCCATCTTGTAATTTTTTCATGATTGTAATTTTTCTCCTGACTCATAAAAGAAAATTAAAGTCATACAAGAGAAAGAACAAGAAACTCTACATACGTACAGGCGTCTTGCCCTCTATGCAACTCCTCCTCTCTACACGGCTCTCCCAAAAGTCTAGCTTTGCCTTATATAGCTTTCAGAATTTAAATCTCCTAAAAAAGTCTAGCATGGACTTACATATATCTTTCATAATTTAAATCTTTTAGGAAACTTTAGAATAGCCTAGGAAACGTTGACATAAAAGAACAAAAAATACTAGGAAACTTTGACCAAAAAAGAAAGACTAGGAAACCTTCATATATAATTGGCATTTGATTTATCCTACAATGCCAATTTCTTAATAAATGCATCTAGTGAATCGATTTGGCGGCCATTGTAGTCATGTGAATGATTAAAGTTTCTTAATGATGAAAAGTTTATTAATTAATTAGGCTACTTAACCACATGCCAAACCATGAATGAAAGATGATATGGGCAAAGTTCATTATCGTTAGTGAAGAAGAGCTAGAGATTTCCCATTATGTCCCCCTCTTGTAGGTTAAAGAAGATTAGGCAAAAATGGCTTACATGGAAGTATAGACGGCTTAAACTTCTGCCTTTCATGGTGCTGTGCCGAAGGCGAGTGGCAGTCTTACACTACACACTAGCTGAACGACATCTCCTGAGAAACTAAGGAGAGGGGTGATCTACTGATCGATGGATTGGTCCTTAAATCCCTAGTTCCTTGAAAGCATCAACAAAGAGGACGTTGACCAAACTATCAGTGTCCATTAGGATGCATCCCACATCGAAATCGGTCATTTCCGCTCGAATGATCATGGGATCATCATGAAGGAAGATGACACCTTTCTCCTCTTCTTCACTAAAAGTGATAGGTTCCCAACTAATCCTATAAACCTTAGGGTACCGTCCGATTTCGATTTTGATGAATGAATTTCCACTTGTGGACCATGTATCGGAAATGCAATGCTCGGAGGCCAAGAGTAGTCGTGGCTGAATCGAGCGGTATATTCCCTCAATGTTTCTTAATTTCATTGTCACATGGTATACAGATCATCGGCAGAGTAAAGACAATCAATCTGATCATAAAATAGTTAATAAAACATTGCTTTAACTAATTAAATGAATCTACCGTAACTACCTCCAAACGGTAAAACCAATTGAGGGCACCTCTGGTAAGCATGGATGGGAAGATAAGACATTATCCTTAGTCGCTGCTAGGCCTTTACATTTAAGTGTCGATTGAAAAGTGGGCATCTATGTCAAGGGGTCCGTACGCCTGCATAAAACGGCACCTTAGGGCTTAGATGGCGGCTTGCATGATGGCTTTGGATTGGGTATGGATGGCGGGGATAAAGGTGGGAGGGAGAGTTGCATGCCTTCTTTTTTAATCTTGAATTTTGAATTTTTTGAATTTTAAATTGAATTAAGTTATTAAATTTTTTATTAATTTTTTAAAAGTTTGCTTATGTGCCATGTGTCATGTCTTAAATGGTAAGATCATTTAAGAAAATGGAAACCCATGTATATAGCAGTATCAATAACTACAAAATTAGCATTATAGTTCACTTCTTGAAGCAAGTACTGTAAGACAAATCAGACTAGCATTCATCAAGCCAAAGCTTGTAGCTACTAGAGCCTACACTAACCAAGCGTTCCTGCACAACTATTCACCAATATGGCAGTTTAAGCACGAAAACAAAAATAATATAGAAACAAGAGTTAAAGGAGTAAACAAAACAAAAATGGAAAAGCAATGTACAAGTGCAATATTAAACATAGTTGCATTCATTGAATAAGTGTTCTGTATATGCATCATCGTATCGTACAAAAGATACGGACAGAAAAAATAAGGGTTTGTCCAATATAGATCCCTACATTTTCTATTTTCTAGACATATACCCATCACTCTATAAATCTATGTGTAAAACCCAATTTCAAATTTAAATGACCAGTATGATATAAGAGGTCGTAGTATTTCTATGTTTTTACATCGTTGCCACTAAACTTCATATTTTATTTATAATTTATTTCAAGCATTTCATTAACTACCATAATTGTAATTAATATACTCCCTATTAATATCATATCAATCACCCCATTTTTTTTAGTTGTCATTCCCTCTCACATCTCGCCCCCTAAAATTGCAAAAATATATATATAAATTACATATCCAATAATGTACATATGAAAAATATAATATAAATATATACATATAAAATATAGGTATATTATTTACCCCAAAAAAAAAAGTCAGTTACTTTGTAATTGCGTATATTTTTCATAATTAAAATAGGTACACAATAATTTATATAAAATATAGGTACATTATTTACCCATAGGTAAATTATTTTACAATATACTTGTAAATGTGTATAGGTACATTATTTGGAGAGGCAAGATAGGTACATTATTAGAGGAAAAAATAGGTCAGTTATTTGGAGAGAGAAAATAGGTTCATTTAAAAAAAATTACTTTTAATAAAATAAATAATAGGTACTTTATTCAGAAAAAAAAAGGCTATATTATTTATAGAAAAAAATAGGTACATTATTTAGATAAATAATAGGTACTTTATTCGTAGTAGGTATATTATTCAAATGGTAGGTACATCGGATGACATATAATACCTAAATCCTAATTGTAAGTACATTAAAATTAATGTAGGTATATTGGATGTCATATAATGTAGGTATATTGGAATAGATAATTATGTACACTTTTCATACTAGGTAAATTATATTTTTCATAAAAAAATAGGTACATTATTTTTTCAACATAATTAGTATGTACAGTTTTATTCATAAACAATTATAAAGTGGATTATTAGTCATGTATAATTCATAAAAAGAAAATAACATAAACATTTTATTAAACAAACCGATTACCCAAATTTGAATTTATTGATAAATTTTTTTTTAAATGTTCCAAAATTAATTCCTACATCCATTACAACCATTTGGAGATCTTTCCAAATTCAACATCTGTCATTATATACAATCCAATTAAAAACTGTTTCCATATCGATTCCTATATTAATATACAAAATGCAATAATGGCTTAGTTGGGGGTATTTTTGGAATTTGAAAATTACAATAAATCAGATTTTATGCTTAATTAGGTAACTTATTGAGTTGGATCCTAGTCATGGGTTTTTACTTATACAAATTGGGTATTATTTATAGGAACAAAAAGTGAAGGGTTTTAGGTATGGCAAATTGAATTTGAAGGGTGTAAGCCAAATTTACTAAAAAAATAAGAAATCTAAATTTACAAATTCCCTTTCCCATTTGGGTCTGGTATAATTTCACCCAAATCTCACTACATTCAGTTTTGAAAAAATAAAAGCATAGCCCTTTGTTTGGTTGCAGAGAAAAAGAAAGATGGAAAATAAGAAAAAACATATTTCGACCAATAGAGTCAGTTAAATCACAGCATATGTAATGACCATTTCCAGGGAAGAAATATATATATCTACTAAAACTGAATCCCAAAATTCACTGTTCATAGGCTATTCATTCGCAATAATGAAATGACGGTTTTGCCCCTACTTATGTTCTTTGTTATTTTTTTGTTCTATTCGGCGGTATAGTAAAATGACCATATTGCCCTTTGCTCTTTTTACTTTTTTGGGTTGATTTTGATCCCAAAATTCACTATTCGTAAAGTATCCATTCGCAATAGTGAAATGACAATTTTGCCCCTACTTATGTTCTTTGTTCTTTTTTGTCCTATTTGGCAGCACAATAAAATGACCATATTGCCCTTTGCTCTTTTTACTTTTTTGGGTTGATTTTCAGACATATGTTTAATACAAATTGCCTTTGGTTTTAAAACCCGCAGCATTGCACGGGCACCTTTTGCTAATAATAACTAAAACCCTAGACCTCTCTTGTTTGGTTGCGGAGAAATACATAAAGGTGAAGAAAAGGAAATCAAGGAAAATACCAGCTACTGAACCCAACAATCAAAATAGACCATCCCCCATAGGCAGAGTCAAGTTCTCATACTTACAGATGATTCATTTTCCTTCACTTTCTAAGCAACCAAACAGGAAAAAAGAAAAAGAAAATAAACAATAAAAAAAACCTAGCTCAAATCCTCTGCTTCACATGAAACTCAAAATGAAAAATGAACAAAATTAGCAATAAAATCTAGAGTAAAAGAAACTAGGAGCTATGAACACCTCATCTTGGCGTATCGATCTTCACCTAGAAACAGCGTTTACTTGCGAGACAGAGGGAGATAGAGAGAGAGACGAGAGAGACAGAGTGTTGTTGACGTGAGTCTCCTACTTAATCAAGGAGATTTATTTCCTTGATTAATTAAGGGATTTACTTTCCCATTTTATTTAGTTGACAAATCTTTGTATAATTAGGAGATACTATCCTAATTGATTACTGTATCTATTTCCTTGTAAAGCAGTCATGTAAACTCCTATATATACCTCCTTATGGAGAAGAATATAATTCAACCTAATACATTCAAACCACATTCATATTTTAGCATGGTATCAGAGCAATCAATCCTAGGTTGTCTCTAAACTCTTATCTCAAATTTCTCATATTCAAATCCAAAACCCTAAATCAAATTCCTCATAATTTTCCCCAAATCCATATCCCTCAAATCTAAAGTCCTCAAATCCTCTTATCCAAATCCCTAAACACATACCCTCAAATCTTATACACATACCTCTTAAATCCAATTCCTACATCAAATTCATACATCAACTTCCTCACATCAAATTCCTCACCTTCTCATATCACATCTTACTTTCGTTGCGATGTCAGGAACCCCTACGATTCTCCATCTTCTTGCAGACTTATAGAAGCATGCGGTCAATCTTGCTGACCCGGCTACCCGGACTCCTGCTTCTATCACCACCACCAAAGGTTCTACTTTTCGTACGTCCTCCAAAAACTCCGCATAGATTATCGACTCGGGCGCTACGGATCACATGACATTTGATCCTGCCCAACTTATTAATCGCAAATCATCCACTTCATCGGTGATGTCTAATGCTAATGGTACCCCCTCCCCTGTGGTTGGGGAGGGCTCTCTATCTCTCTCTACTTCCCTACATCTGGATTCTGTATTACTTGTTTCATCTTTAGACCATAACTTGTTATCTGTTGCACAACTTACTACTACTTTGGGGTGTACTGTAACATTTTGGCCGAATCATTGTGTTTTCCATGACATCCTCACAGGAACGACGATAACTCTATTACTTGGACTGGCACCGGATAGTGAGGTAAAGGGTGGTCAAGCTTTCACAACCAGTGGAACGCGTCTTGAGGGGGAGAGAGACAAAATTTGGTTATGGCATAAACGTCTTGGGCATGCCTCTTTCAGTTATCTTGAGAAGTAGTTTCCATCATTATTTTCCAGTCTTGATGTTTCTAGCTTCCAGTGTGATACGTGTGAATTGGCTAAGAGCCATTGTGTCCCGTTCCCATTAAGTTCAAATCAGAGTTTGGTTCCGTTTTCCCTTATTCATTCTGATGTTTGGGGACCTACTAAAATTGCCACTTCGGCAGGGGCGCAATGGTTTGTTACATTTATAGATGATTGCAAATGCATGACTTGAGTTTCCCTTCGCAAAACAAAAAGGGGAAGTCAGTTCCAGGTTTCAACAGTTTTATCAAATGGTGGAGACTTAGTTTCATGCCAGAATTCAGGGTTTTCATTCTGACAATGGCGGAGAATTTCTTAACCATGATCTTAACCAGTTCTTACAAGATCATGGCATCATACATCAAAGCTCATGCCTTTACACTCCCCAACAGAATGGGGTCGCTGAAAGAAAGAACACACTTATTGGAAGTCGTTCGTGCCTCTCTCTTTGGTGCCAGTATGCCACGATCATTTTGGGGCGAAGCCGTCGTCTCTGCAGCATACCTTATCAATCGGATTCCCTCTAGTATCCTAAATTTTCAAACACCAATTCAAACACTTCACCACCATATCCAAACACCTCTCACCCCAAACTTAGAACCTTGGATTTTTGGCTGTATTGTATTTGTCCACTTACATATTCACTAATGAAGCAAATTGGATCCAGAGCCGAAAAGTGTGTTTTCATTGGCTATGCACCTCATCAGAAAGGATACCGGTGTTATCATCCTCCTAGTCAGAAAGTCTATACTTCTATGGATGTTGTGTTCCGGGAAAACGACATATACTTTTCAGCTGCACAGGAGGAGCATTGCGACACCAACACTTCTCAAATTTTCAATTTTTTTTCCTCCAGAATTGTCCCAGCCTGAAAGCGACGAGTCGCATGTTGAAAGCGACCGGTCGCTAATGACTCTACCAGAAAACGACAGATCATAGCTTGGAAGTGACCGGTCACTACCCGAAAATCAACCTCAGCCTGATTTGTCATTTATTTGCTGTCCAACTCAGGAGAGGAAACTGATGAGATTTTGCCCACTCCGGAGACTTCTTCAGCTCCAATACCACACCAATCACCATGATAATTTGATTTCAGAAGGCAAAGAGCCTGCATATCAAATTCCAAAAAGGAAGAACCGTGGCAAACCTCCAATACACTACGAAGCAGATTTTAATGGCAAAGGAAAATATCCCATCAACAAATATGTATCCATCAGCAGATTATCAGAGTCATAGGTACACTTTGTGAAACAGTTGGTCGACATACTTGTTCCCAACAGTGTAAGTGAAGCACTAGAAGACCCAAAATGGAAAGAAGCCATGAATGAAGAAATGGGAGCTCTCCAGAAGAATGACACATAGGAACTCGTGCCATTACCTCATGGAAAGAAGACAGTGGGATGCAGGTGGATTTATACTGTGAAACTCAAAGCAGATGGATCTATTGAAAGATATATAGCTAGATTGGTGGCGAAGGGGTACACACAAAGATATGGGATAGACTACCAAGAGACCTTTGCCCTAGTAGCCAAGATTAAAACTATCGGAGTCTTTCTGTCTCTATCAGCAAATCTCGATTGGCCATTACATCAGTTTGATGTAAAAAATGCATTCTTACATGGAGACTTGGAAGAAGAAGTATATATGGACTTACCACCAAGATGTAACTTAGCTCGTGACAAGGAAAGTCAAGTTTGCAAGCTCAAAAAGTCATTATATGGGTTAAAGCAATCCCCCAGAGCATGGTTTGACAGATTCACTAAATCCACGAAGAATTTTGGATATATACAAAGTAATGTAGATCACACTTTATTCTTGAAGCGTGATGGAAGAAGACTTACTGCATTGATTGTTTATGTGGATGACATAGTCGTAACTGGAAACGACACAGGAGAGCAACTGAAACTGCAGAAGTATTTGTCTCAGGAATTTGAGATGAAGGATTTAGGTGATCTGAAGTACATTCTAGGAATGGATGTAGCCAGGTCCACAACTGGTATATTTCTGTCTCAAAGGAAGTATGTATTAGATCTGCTCACTGAAACAGGAATGCTTGGATGCAAACCTGTTGATACACCCATCGAGATAAATCACAAGTTATGTGAAGGCATGGATCAAGAACCAACCAATAAGGAACAGTACCAACGCCTTGTTGGAAGGTTGATATATTTAGCCAACACAAGACCAAATATTGCATATGTTGTGAGTGTGGTTAGTCAGTTTATGCATTCACCCAGTGTGTCCCATCGGATCTTAAGATACTTAAAGTCAGCACCTGGGAAAGGATTAATGTTCTCAAAAAATAGAGATCTCGAAGTTGTTGGATATACAAATGCTGATTGGGCTAGCTCCATTACTAATAGACGCTCTACTTCATGTTACTTTACCTTTGTAAGAGGTAATCTAGTCACTTGGCGGAGTAAAAAAGAAAATGTAGTTTCTCGGTCTAGTGCAGAAGCAGAGTATCAAGGAATGGCTCACGGAGTTTGTGAACTACTGTGGATCAAAAGACTATTGACAGAATTGAGTTTCAAGCCATGAAAGCCAATGGAGTTACACTGTGATAACAAATCAGCCATTGACATTGCCCATAATCCATCCCAACATGATCAAACCGAACATGTTGAAGTGGATAGACATTTTATCAAAGAGAAGATTGAGAAGAAGATCATCCGCCTACCATTCGTAAAATTAGAAGATCAACTGGCAGATATCTTAACAAAAGCTGTTTGTGGCAGAGTATTTCATGACTCACTTACCAAGTTGGGCATTGGTGTCATATATGCACCAACTTGAGGAGGAGTGTTGACATGAGTCTCCTAATTAATCAAGGAGATTTATTTCCTTAATTAATTGAGGGATTTAATTTCCCATTTTATTTAGTTGACAAATCTTTGTATAATTAGGAGGCAATATCCTAATGGATTACTGTATCTATTTCCTTGTAAAGCACTCATGTAAACTCCTATATATACCTCTTTATGGAGAATAATATAATTCAACATAATACATTCAAACCATATTCATATTTTAGCAAATATTTTATAAACGAACGAAAAAGGGGTTTTAGTGTCATTTTATAGATGGAGTTTATGGACCGTAAAAAGTGAAAATCGGGTCTTAGATGCTTCCGTTTAGTTCCACACTTCCATTTTATTCTAGATACTTGTGCAAGTTTTAGATCTTTTGCGGCCACAATCGTTTGGGAGCAACCTCATTTGGAGGAGAAAAACTTCCCTGTCACAGTGATTCCACCATCAGCATCCACATCAATATCCCAAACCAATCCAATTCTGACAGCTGGCCATAGATTTAAACATATTTTATGCCTATTTTCTTCCTCCTCTCGTTGGCATCTCTCTCTCTCTCTCTCTCTCTCTCTCTCTCTCTCCCCATCATCATCAACCACACACCCCTGATTCGTCTTTCCCAGTTCTCTCTCCAAATGGACTTGAGAAAGATTGGGTTGGCTTTGAATATGTGGAAGAACTCGGTACGGTTTTGAGGAGAAAAAATTTATCCGGCGTCATTGTCTCTTTTCCAATCTGAGGAATCTCTTTCCTTTTTTTTTGGGAGACTTTGGAAAAACCCAAAGGAGAGAGAAATTTTGTAAAAGAAGACAAAATAGACAAATTTGCCCTTATTTATTTTTGGATTTCCTAAGAAATCATTTACACTTGCATGTCTTTGATTTGAAAGTTGAGAGGTTTTTCTGTCTTTTTTGAAAAAGCCTTGGCTTTTTCCAAAAGTGAAAATTTTTTTATGCCTAAAACCTAAATTTACTTTTTTTTTCCTTCAAATTTATTATCTATTGGGGAGTTTTGGAAAATTAGACATGGTGGAGCTGAGAGAGATTGTGTTGTTTCGATTTTGTCAGGAAACATTGAAGGTGTTGTTTGGGAGAAAGCTTATCATCTCCTTATTCAGCCTTTTTTTTTTTCAATGAATTGAGGGGCAAATCCCTAAGAACCAGCCATTTCATTATCACTACCTATTATCCTTTTTCATCTTTGTTTAAATATATTAGAGATAAAATGGGGAAATTAATACATGATGTGTGGGTGATGGAGTGACTGAAGAGGGAGAAGAATTAGAAGAACAAAGTTACAGATTTTTACGGACTGAAAGAGGAAAGGAGGAGAGAGAGAGGGATGCCGATGAGAGGAGGAAGAAAATAGGCATAAAATATGTTTAAATCTGTGGCCAACTGTCAGAATTGGATTGGTTTGGGATACTGATGTGGATGTTGATGGTGGAATCACTGCGACAGGGAAGTTTTTCTCCTCCAAATAAGGTTGCTCCCAGAAGATTACAAAACAAAAACGAAATATTTTCCCCAGCCCCAACAACCCCCTCTTTTTGTCAACCCCCTCCTTCTCCCATCTCTGCACTACAACCCTACCGCCCTACTACCACCCACACCATCCACCACTGCACTAGCCCCTAGCCCCAACAACATCAATGGCTCACTCTCCCTCAACTCCTTTTCTCTACCCCCTTCTCTGCAAATTCAAAAACCAAAATTTTATTTTTCATCTCCTGAATCCAACTTTCTCTTTTTCATCTCCAAAAGCAACATTAATATTCCCACCGAATTCTCGAAAGTCTCTAACTTGTTGTCCTTCCTTGTAACATTTCTGCTAAGTGCTAACAAAGAGAAATCTCTAATGCTCGGGTCTGAAGCTTTTCACTTCAAGTAAGGAGCTTTACACTCTGTGATTCAGCTAAGCCAATTATAGCTTTCTCAGCCCGCCCCCACGTCACACCCCACACAGCTACCCACCCACCGATAGCCATTGCTGCCCCAATTCAGCCACCCACAAACTCCCTTATCGCCCCACCGATAGCCATATTCAAACCCGAAAACTTTTTTAAAAAACCTGGATGGTTGATGAAGAAAGAGGGGGAAAGAGAGAAAATGAGGAGGGGTGGGCTCGGTTGTTGTCGAATAAAGAGGGGAAATAGAGAGAGGGGGAGAGAGAAGATGGGAGGGTGGTTGCGTAAGGGAGAAGGGAAAGAGTGTGCTGGGGTTTGGGATATTATTATTTTTGGTTAAAAATATTATTTTTAAAGAATTCTTTATTATTTTTTTACGCATCAACACCAAAGTGCATATGTAACTTGCCATGTTACCAATGGTAAAATAGGAAAGAGAAAGAACAAAAATTTTAAAAAAATAATAAAAAACAAAGGAGAGTGTAAGTTGAGAAAAGGAGAGTGAAAAAATCAGCATAAAAATAGAAACGCAAATTACTTGCTTTGGATCCACATCTTAATTACAAATTAATTACAATTAGGAAGGATGCTTAAAATCTCTGAGTGAATGTTAATGCTGCCTTTGATTGATCTTTGATCCACCTAGATTATGATTTTGAAAGTATCAAATTGGAATTGTATATATCCACTGAATAAACCTCTCCACTCACTGCCCCTTTCTCAATATACTCAATTGACCAGAAACTGTATCCCCAAAATTCAACAATCAGTTTGATTTGTATTTTGCATTTGTATTCACACCCTTCTTATTTTATGGTTGTCGGATCAATTTGTGTGTGAGAGGGAGAGAAAGAGAGAGAAATGGGGCTTGTATTGTATGATGGCCAGGGTGGCTTCGGGTTGGGTATGGGTGGCGGGGATAAGGGTGGGGAGGGAGAGTTGCATCCTTTTTCAATCTTGAATTTTGAATTTTTTGAATTTTAAATTGAATTAAGTTATTATATATTTATTAATTTTTTCGAAGTTTGCTTATGTGCCATGTGTCTTGTCTTAAACGATTAGATCATTAGGATGGCTTAAATGTTGCGAAATGCGGGTAAATGCACAACATCTAAATGGCCGTCATTGAGTGTTGTAATCTAAGGGCCCTCATTAATTAAGATTAACTTCTAGCGATAAAACATTTCATTCAAATGCGTGTCATTGTCCATATACATCTTTTCCATGTTAGCAAACTCACTTCACTTAAGGAATTAGAGACCTACTATCTTTATTGATAATTCACTAATTTAGAAACTCATTTCTCATTTAACTTCTTTCAATTATAACTTCTATAAATTCAACAAGCTAGAGTATGTTCTCAAATGTAACTAAGCAAGAGCAGTAGAAGAACATGATCGAGGTCAGAAAGAGGAACTCTCCCCTGCAGATTTTGTCATTGCTACTTGTCTTCCTAATTCACTGCCAAGCATCAACCCATTATAATTGGGTGGTATATACATGCATGTTTTCTTCAAGTAACTTTTTTTAGAAAAGTTGATATAGATCCAATTTCCCATTAAGAAGTTGGTTTTAATCCTCGGATTTGGTGACTTTGATACAAGTCCTTTGACTGTTATGCCACATAGGATTACATTCCTTTTTTAATATTTTCTGATATAATTTTTTTTAAAATTTTTTCACCCTCATATTTTGTTCCAATATTGCCCCTTATCCCTTGAATTGGGTAAATAATAATTCACGTCATAATCTGAATCCATTTACCACAGTTGTCATCGAGATAGAAAAGGAAATTATCTTAAACATATCCCAGATTTCACGTTGCTACAAACAGTTTATTCTCCTTTGAACCCAATCTCTATTGATTCCTTGCTTCTTCAATGCAGAATTGTTGGGGTTTCAGATTAGGTTTGAATATTACAGATACTCAGAAGGTTCGATGGTCACAATTTAGCACGTCTGAGACATCCCAGCTTTCATGGTTATTTCCTAAAATCATGCTCATTCCGTCCAAATCGCTCCAGATTTCCGTCCAGTCATTGCAGATTTCTTGCTGCAATAATGTAGAGTTTTTTGGGTATGAAAATGATAGGAACCTGATGTTCAAAAGCAAGAAATCAATTGTTGACAAAATAGGGATTGGGTCTTCTGACATTGGGTTGCTGGAGTGCAGTTCCTCACGTACAGGTATTTTTAATTTATGTATTTCAATTTCAATAATCTGCTTTGTGTTTTGTTGTTTTTTGCGTTTGGTTTGGTATGAAGTCGTCATTTTACCTATTGTCAACAAATAGGAATTGGGTCTCTAACATTGGGCACACAATTGTCAAATGTCAATCAGAGATTGGGTATCAAACGTGGTGAATTGAGAAATTGAGGAGATATTTTCTTTGTTTCTAACTTTCTGGGTTTCTGGGTTTCATACTATCTGGGAAATACCTAAACTAATACTAATGTAGAGATAATGCATTTCATACTATCAGATGTATAGATTCTGTCATGGGATATATAGGTTCTGCCAAAGATATATTGGTTGTACCAAATCAATATTCCATGATTCAATTGAAACAATATGCTTTTTGGGGTGTTGTTTTTACCTATCTGTCATTTTACCTATCGTCATTTTACCTATAGTCGACAATATTATGACAAAGTCTGATGGCAAGTTGAGAAATTGAATAGACAGATTTTTTACACGCAGATTGTGATATGAATTTTTCTTTGTTCTTTGTAGCATCCTCATGGCTAAGAAAGAGTTTGCAAACCTGGAGTACAGGTCAGACGTGTTGAAGTTTCATCGTGTAATGGAGCGAATAAGAGAAAATGTGAAGGAGTCACATGTTGAGCTCTTTCGGCAAACACCGTTTTGGGGGTTGTTCAATTCATACCATGGTGGTCTAATTATTGAAGAAGCTCATAGAAAATCTGATATTGATATTGTGTCCATCTTAAAATGTTTTGACAAAGGCGAAAATGCATTTTTTTTTTTGAATTTTTGAATTTTTTTTAGCCTTTACGCGACCAATATTTTTCGTCGCGCAAAACTTTGGGTGACCAATACTTTTTGTTGCGCAAAACTTTGCGCTACCAGTACTTTTTCGTCGTGCAAAACTTTGCACGACCAATGTTGGTTTCGTCGTGCAAAACTTTGTGCAACCAATATTTTTCGTCGCTCAAGGTAGATTTGCGCGACGTTAAGATTCATCGCACAAAGTTACTTTGCGCAACGAAGAATATTTTTCATCGCGCAAACCCTTTCTTCACAAGTTTTGAGCGACGGATCATGCGCACGAAAATTTCGTCGCGCTGGGTTTGCGCGACGAAATTGTACTTTGCACAACAAACTTATTTCGTCGCGCAAAGTGTTTTTTGTAGTAGTGTGTTTAACCTTCCATGCTTGTATCTCCATGGCGTCTCATGTTATCTACGCAAGCCAATCTCTTTCTGGGAACCAGACAATTACCTCTCCAAGTGGCATTTTTGAGCTGGGTTTCTTCACACCAGGTAACTGTCAAAACTATTATATTGGGATATGGTACAAAAAAACTACCCCCGAAAACAGTAGTTTGGGTGGCAAACAGAAACTAACCTGTTTCTGATACATCATCTTCAACATTGCAACTCTTCCAAAATGGAAACTTAACCCTACTGTTCCAATCCAAAACTGAAATTTGGTTAACTCATTCTATGTCAACGGTTTCTCATTCCACCGTAGCAATGCTACTTGACATTGGGAACTTTGTCATAACATATGCATTTAATTCATCTGTTGTTATATGGCAGAGTTTTGATCACCCAATTGATACTTGGCTTCCAGGAGGGAAGCTTGGACATAATAGGCTTATGAAAGAAAAACTAAGTCTTACTCCATGGAGAAACCCACAAAATCCAGCACCTGGCCTCTTTCCTATCTGGGCAACATCTTGTATGTGATGGAGATTTTTATTTCCCCCTTCATTTCTCCATTCCTTTCCCCATCCAATCTAGATCTTATGAAAGGGAGTGGTGACATGAGCTTGTATCTTGATGTGCTTTCATCTATTTCAAATGGGATATATAAATATATCATTGTTCTTTGTAGTTTGTATCTTCAAGGCCAAGGATTAGGAACTGGGTATAGATTACAAGCAGCAGCAGCAGCAACCCAGCCCAAACAGTGATTTCTTCTCCAGATTCTCCCAAAATTCGAACCCCACCTCAGATTTTGATAAGCCCTAGCCTTCTTCTCCAAATTTCCCCTTCTCACCCAAACACCCCCTTTCCCCTTTTCTAAAGTTGAAAAAACCCTTATTCTCCAATGTTAAGGATTAAAACAAAGTGGGGCCCAAAGCACCTAACGGAACGTCTATAATACTGATGGAATGGGTAACGTGAGACCGATTTTAAAAGTGTGGGGGGGTATTTTGAGACATTTCAAAGCCCAGGTGGTAACATGAGACAAGTTTGAAAGCACATGGGGCACGTACATTAATAAGCCTTATTATTTTGGCAATGGTTCTGTGATCGACTTGGATACCTATATCCGTCTATGAACATTCTCATAGCGGATCTTGAGTTTGTGTACAAGGAGTCGTATCTTGGAGTCTTGTAGTTGTAGACTGTCAGTACCTGTACGTAGAGAGGCTACAAAGGCTTTAGGACAACGTCTTTAACATGCTTCACTGTACCAAACTCACATTCTTACTTACTATTTATTTTGCATTTACTTACCTATTATTTTGTTTTCTTCAATTTTATTGTACCTTAAAAGCTTTCCAATTTGTTTATAAATTATTTATAATATAAAAGTTTTTGCATTTGGCTTTACAAAAAAGGAAAACTATATTTTTATAACAGAAGGAACCATCTGGTGGCACGCACACAATGACACTGGCTGGAGCCACAGTTCATGGCGCAATATTTGTGTATCCAAAACGTGGAGCTGGCTATCCTTTTCCCAAGCCTCGTGAAGAAGTGCAAATAATATTAGGTAACATGCATGAATTTATATTAATATAATCATGTTTTAAACTCAACATGTGTAATTAATCTTGGATTCTCTCACTACGAAAAAAGAAAGAGTTATGGGCGATTACATTTGCCCCTATTACTTCAAATAGGGGTGGAAAACTAGACAAATCTGCCGCTAATCATATGAGGGGCAGATAATGGAAAGGCCCCTATTAGTAGCGCCACTAAAAACTAATAGGGGCGGAAAGGTTATTAAAAACGCCCCTATTGTTCCAGTTGCCACGTTGGCAATGAACCGTAGAATACATATTAGGAGCGAATATTTATGTGCCTCTAATAAATTTTTTAACAGTAAGGGCGCTTATTTGCACCACTACCTCTAATTTCATAATAAATAATAATTAGTTGTAGAGACATATACATGTGCCCCTAATACATTTCAAAGTCATTAATTCATCGGAGCATATTTATTTAAAATTAGTTTTTAATTTGTTATATTCAACATATAAATTATTCTTCAAATAAATAAAAATTAATTAATTGTATAATATAAAATGCACAGAACATCAAATATATATATTTATATAATTCCCAAACGTATATAGCCAGCCAAACAATATTAGGTAGCAATAATTCAAAATGATCCCAATAGTATGAAGAAAATAGCAAAATATCCTAACTCGATTCAGGACGATGAGCCCTCTGATCTGAAGACATAAAATCCTGCAAAAATTCTTCGTGAAGCATCCCTGAAAATTCTCCAGGAGGATAAGGCATTGGGTGATATAGTTGTGGATGGTATGGTTGGGGATAATACAAATGAGATGGCGGCTGATATAAATAAGGATGATGCTAATAAGTCGGATACTGATGTGAAGATGGAGTCTGCTGGGAAGGTGACTGATGCTGGGAGGGAGAACGATGTTGGTTGGATGAATGCTGCTGAGAGGATGAACATTGCCACTGGGAGGGTGATTGCTCTTGTGAGGAAGACTGTTGATGTGTAGGTGGCTGGAATGGTTGCTGATGTGAGGATAATATCATATGCCTCAACTTCTCCATCTCCTTCTGTTGTCTCTCATAATTTTCTTGCAGCTCTAAAAATTGAGACTCCAAACAAGCATAATCTCGTCCTCTATGTGATCGACAAGATGAAGAAGTTGGTTGAGTTTGTACCACCCAAGGCACCATATCTGGTGTCACAATATTTCCGTACACTACTACATTTTACACTTTGCGCGACGAAGAGATTTCATCGCGCAAAATACATTATAGTCGCACAAATTTCAGCGCGACAGAAACCTCGTCACGCAGAATCCGTCGCGCAAAGATCGTGAAGAAAGACTTTGCGCGACGAAGTTTTTTCTTTGGTCACGCAAAGGTCGTGGAGAATCCGTCGCGCAAAGATCATAGAGAAAGACATTGAGAAAATGGTGGATGAGTTATTTTCGTTTTAAAAACCGTATCACTTTGCGCGACGAAAAATATTGGAATATTGGTCGCGCAAAGTTTTGCGCGACGAAAATATTGGTTGCCCAAAGTTTTGCGAGACAAATTTGTATATGGTCGCGCAAAGTCAAAAAAAAATTATTTTGGGTACCCGCCCAAATTTTTGCGCGACGAAAAATATATATTGGTCGCGCAAAGTCCAAAAAAAAATATAATTTAAATCCCGCGTCCCATTTTTGTTACCCACCCAGATTTTTAGAGTTTTGCGCGACGAACTGTTGGTCGCGCAAACTTTTGAGAGACGAAAAATTGGTTCGTAGCACAATATTTATAAAAATAATTGTTATGAATAATAAAAATAAAATAATTTTATTTTACTATTTAAAATATAAATAAGGTTTAAGCTACTTAATAAATGTATATACTATTCAATTTCTTAAGTGTTATACGTATAAAATAAATAAATTGAAAGGTACTTAATAAGTAAATAAATATATATATACACACACCATTCAACGATCCAACCGTCAGACTTGTTTGTATATACTTCAAGATTGTATACCCCAAAAATCACAAAAAACAAACATTCAGAGATCTAGTAACGGGACAAAAAATTTCAACGGTTACAAATGAAAAATCACGATTTAACCGTTATTTTAACTCCGATTTTGATGATTTTTTTACAGCTACACTCCTTGACCCTATATGAATACAATGAACTAATTCGATCATCAATTTAAAATATTTACAATAGTGGATACCACAAAATCTTATGTTATATTTAACAAAAATATAAATAAACTCTTAATTGTTAGTGAATATATTGTTTTGATGGCATACGCATTCAAAAAAACTAGTTTCAACGATCCAACCGTAAAACTTATTTGTTTATACTTCGATATCATATACGCCAAAAATCGGAAAAAATAAACATTCAGAGATCAAGTAACGGGACAAAAATTTTGACTGTTCTAAATGAAAAATCACGATTTAACGGTTATTTTAACTCCGATTTTGATGATTTTTTACAGCTACACTCCTTGACCCTATATGAATACAATGAACTAATTCGATCGTCAATTTAAAATATTTACACTAGTGGATACCACAAAATCTTATGTTATATTTAACAAAAGTATAAATAAACTCTTAATTGTTAGTGAATATATTGTTTTGATGGCATATGCATTCTACAAAACTAGTTTCAACGATCCAACCGTCAAACTTGTTTGTTTATACTTTGAGATCACATACACCAAAAATCGGAAAAAATAAACATTCAGAGATCAAGTAACGAGACAAAACTTTTCGACAGTTATAAATGAAAAATCATGATTTAACGGTTATTTTAACTCCGATTTTGATGATTTTTTACCGCTACACTCCTTTACCCTATATGAATACAATGACTGAATTTGATCTTCAATTTAAAATATTTCACTAGTGGATACCATAAAATCTTATGTTATATTTAACAAAAGTATAAATAAACTCTTAATTGTTAGTGAATATATTGTTTTGATGGCATATGCATTCTACGAAACTAGTTTCAACGATCCAACCGTCAAACTTGTTTGTTTATACTTCGAGATCATATACGCCACAAATCGGAAAAAAATAACATTTAGAGATCAAGTAATGGGACAAAACTTTTTGACGGTTATAAATGAAAAATCACGGTTTAACGGATATTTTAACTCCGATTTTGATGATTTTTTACAGCTACACTCCTTGACCCTATATGAATACAATGAACTAATTCGATCGTCAATTTAAAAAATATATTTTCTAACAAAAACCCAATCCGAACAACAATAATATATTTTTCTAACAAAAATCCGATCCGATCTAAAATAATAAATTTAAAGCTACTTAATAAAAATATATATATGCTGTTTAATTTCTTAAGTGTTATGCATACAAAATAAAAAACAAAAATAAATCGGTTTAGGCAACGAAATGTTTGGATTACGCCATGCAAAGATTTTAAAAAATAATTTTTTTATTTTATTTATTTTTATAAGGACTTTGCGCGACGATGTATTGTTGTCGCGCAAAGTCGCTTTGTGAGACGAATTGTTTTTTGTCGCGCAAAATTTGGTCAAGCAAGACTTTGCGCGACAATGTATTGTCGTCGTGCAAAAGTTTGTTGCGCAAAGTCACTTTGCGCGACGAATTGTTTTTCGTCACGCAAAATTTGGTCGCGCAAGGTTTTGAGCGGCGAAGTTTTGAGTTTCGTCGCGCAAAGTGACTTTGAGCGATGAAGAATTTTTCGTCGCGCTAGGGTTATTTTTTACTAGTGGTAACCATGAATTGTTCCACGACTCTCAACACCTCTTGCTGATAAATATGCTTGCAACCTTAACTCTGAAGTCTCCTCACCATGGGTGATAACTAGTTGTGTCAATTCCTGCGAGATCTTACTCTAACCAAAATATATTTTACAAAGGTTAGTAAGAAAAATAATTAAGTATTTTCTGATAACTTGGCATCCTTAGGTACAATGCATAAGCCATCCTTTGTTTTATTTAAAAAGTTCCACCACATTGCAAGCTAGTCTTGCAGGTAGACAAATTTTAACTTTACTTAATATCAAGAAAATAACAAAAACGCATGTTTGTACAAGAAAGACTCTTCTATAGAATCCAGAATACTCAACTATCATCACATCAACAACCCAATCTGACAGTCAGACCCTCAGCTCAACATATACATCATAAACAATTACCCTAGACATTTCGGGGGCACATTAACACATACACTCAATTAACCAAACTCACTAATACTAGATAAATAGGTCGAGGATAAAGTCCTACAAGATCAAGGCAACAATCTGAAACGGAGAGCGAGAGCCTAAACGTGGCACAATCAGACCACAGCTACCCAATAGCATAGGGCCACAAAACAAGGGATAAACTAGGAGATAAACTCAGTGATTGGACACAAATAAAGTTCGAAAATATTTAATAAGAACGTAGCAACCCCTAGTTTTCGCATACCTTCCATAATTCAAAACTTGAGAACTTTCCAAAAACCCAAGTAGTAATAATGTAGCTTAAACTCACTAATAATGGAAAACTTCTATATGACATGACAATTAAAAGCAATGCTACAAATATGTTAAATGGTCTTAACAACTGAAATAACTTCTTAGAAAACTTCAAGAATCCTTTATAAAACAAAAGAATCAAACCCATTTTGAAACTCGGTAAGTCTATAATAGCTCGAGATATTCTACAAGCATAAATAATTTTTATTTTTATTTTAAAAGAAACAATATTATTCAATAAAGAATAAAACATCAACAATACACAAAATGGCCAAGGAGGCCACCACACAAATAGAGAGGTAAAACTCTACACCACAAAACTACTGCTTTCCAATCTAGATGGATGAGCTGAAAACTAATCTCCCTAAACTCTGCTGAAACAGAAGCCAAAGTGAGGCCCAAACTCGGATACGATCCCAAAGCTGGTCTACCTCGTCCCCAACCACATCCTCAAAGATTCTCCTATTCCTTTCCCCCCAAATTACCCAACAGATTGCCATCATGGCACAATTTCCCAACACTGAACCCTTCCTCTTACCACCAAAGAAATTCAATCTAGCTTCAAGCACTGCATTACACGTTGCGAAGTTACCCCGCGTTCGCCCTGCCACCTTAAATAACTTAGCCCACAGGGATGAGGCAATAAGACAAAGCAAAAACAGATGATCCACAGTTTCATTGTCTTTTTTGCACAGAACACACCAGTTAGAGAAAAGCAAGGTCTTAAATATCGATAGTTTCGGAAATATAGGTGGTTCAAAAACACGGAAATATCGATGGAAATATCGGGAAAATATCGATATCGATAAAAATTGAATAAAAACTACGGAAATTGTCATAAATACATGGAAATTTTTAATGAAACTTTAGAAGAAGTTTATTTAGTCAATCATCTATTATTTTGACACAAAAAATTGGAAGGAAATGCATTGCATAGTGGGTTTGAGTGATTTAAGTTGATTATATTGCGAGTTGACAAACTCTGTGACTTAGAAAATCTAGAGTAATTAATGAAAGAGAATTAAACACCCCCTAGTAATTTATTTATCATTTTTTAGTACAATATTTTACACTTTATAAATTGCATTGTAAGATACATGAGTAACCTTATTTCACAAACGTCATTGGACATGGTAACATGTTCTTATATTTATTATTTATCAAAAATTGAAAAATAATTAAAGATGTAAACCAACTTGATTTTTCATGAAAATTAGGCACTTTACCATGCTTAAAAAATAATAGTGAAGATTGAAAATTAACTAGGAACATAAATAAATTTATCCAAGGAAGAATTAAATAGTAAATAAAGAAAATAATTATAGAAATTTAAGTAATTAAGCAACAATTTGAAGGGGAATTTAGTAATGTAAGTACTTATAATGAATAATAAAATAATCAATAACATTAAATGGATTAAATAGAAAAGAAATAAATTATGTTAAGTAATTAAGTAACTGAACAACAAAATAAAACAATAAGTAATTATGTTAATTTCTATTTTGAGAA